TCCCCCCCCCCCCCCATCCCCGGCCCCCCATCTAATTAGCCCTCAGACCAGACATCATTTTCTTTTTGTCGTACCATTAAAAATTTCTTTATTGTTTAGCATTATAAGGTTAAGATAGTTTGTTATCAGTCTTAGACTGATAAGTTTTGGAATTCAAGGTAGCACCACAGCACTAGTTTAAAATACTAATAAGTCCAATATTAACTTCTTATTAACCGAACGCGAGATCTGTACAGAGAAATATCGAACCGAGGTTTGTACAAAAAAGACTGAGGTCTGATATTTCTCTGTACATACCAAGCAAGCGAGGTTAATAAAAAGTTTATTATATGGCATTTATAGGCATTGACTATGACATATACTTGAAGCAAACAAGAAATGCGAGATTTGAAATGCATATTAGTAGCGTACTACACATTTGGTCGAAGAAAACAAAAAATACCAATGTATTCCTTCTTTTCCACTAAAAACCATTCGCAGATATCTTGTTTTAAAATAACAAAATATTAAATTATAATTTTCAAATTTTCAATTAGTTTTGCTGTTTTGTTTTAAAATGCATGCGTTTGTTTTTAGGTAATGGACCACCGGTCCATTACCTACGATATATAATGGACCGCTGAAAGTGCTTCTCAGCCAATCACAGTCCGCCATTTCACCGGAAGTGATGCTTGCCATATACCGAATAGTAATTAAATTAGTTTGATACATTGATTGAATAAAGCAATTTGGCTACAAACGTCTAATATTATTAGAGAGAGAATATTATAATATTATAAGTATTTGAAATCTGCTGTGTTGGTGTAATGTACTCAGGTGAATAAGATGTTTGTGTGATGTTACTCTGAGTGTATATCCACACCGGGCAGGCTTGAAAAATATGCCTGGCCACGGCGGGTACAGTGTCCAGGCATATTTTTCAAGCCTGCCCGGTGTGGATATACACTCAGAGTAACATCACACAAACATCTTATTCACCTGAGTACATTACACCAACACAGCAGATTTCATAAATATTAGATTACATGCACTGATATCGAAAGAACTAG